GGAATTTGTGTCTGTGTATAAAATATATAAATATTATACATAATATGTTAAAAGTGTGTGTGTTTGTTAGAATTCCCTTTAAAATCACCTGAGTCTAATGCTTTTTGACGTACCTTTGAGAACTTCTGTTTCTACTTTGGAAATCAATCAATTTGGGGCTTATTTTATTCTGGAGTCAGTTTTGGTAAAGTATTTTTTCTAAAAAATTGGCTCATTCTAATTTTCAAGTTTATTTACATGGAACTGAGCAAAATAGATTTTTTATGCCTCTTTGTGTGATTATTTCCGCTTTATTGTTCTAGTTTTGTATGTTTATCCTTTCTCCTCCCGCATTGCCCCATTTTTATTTCCCTGTATTAGCTAGTTTTTTTTTAATTTAAAAGAACTGAATTTTTGACTTAGTGCAGCTGCTTTTCTGTTTTCTAGTGTGTCTGTTTCTCTTTTCTTTATTCCTTCCTTTAGTTTTCCTTTTATTTTCGAACTTTTTTGACACATAGCTTGTGGCATGCATTGAAGTGTTTCTTAGGGTTGGCTTTTTGTGGCTCTTCTACATAATTGAAATGAGTTAAATGTTTGTCACCTATCTTTTATTAGTTGTGGTGTCTTTGCTTATATTTTTGCCCATTTAATCTGCCATAAATTGAGAGATTAATTTCCCATTACTGGTATCCTTTAGGTTTCTCCTATTATTTCTTGGATTTTTTACTTTATAAATATTGTCTTTCTTATTTTTATTGTTTTTTTTTTTTGTTTTTATTTACTGATTAAAGCTTTTTAAATGGCATTTCTTTCCTCCTAGGTTCAAAATATTTTTGTTTTTGTGAAGATGCATGTTTGTTTGGGGTTTTTTTGAACTTGTTTTCTTCACACTGCATTGACCCTATTTCCTCTGGCTCTCTGGCTCTTATTTTTGGAGGCTTCCTTCATTGCCCCGGGAATGTGAGGCAATAAAAAATACGATCGTAGGGTCTCTGTGTGTGAGTGCTTTGTCCGCTGGTGGGCCTTGCCACTGAATACCCAGGTAGAGAACTGTCTTGTCACTGTGGGGTCTGTCGGTGTCAGCGTCTTGTCTCTGGGGCTGATCACTTCCTCAAGAAAGGAATCCTCTAGTCTCCTCCCGTGGGTGGCAGCCTGACTTCTGTAATCCGGCTTCTGGCTTTCTAGAAGCAGATGTGGATCCCACTGTTCATGTGTGTTTAACCCACATAGTGTTCCTGAGTCTGAAGTCTTTCTGGTTTATATTCTTCAAACAATACATTTGAAGGATGTGGATAGCAGTAGGCAACAGAGTGTCTGATTGGTTTGTGGAGTTAAAACCCATCCTCTTCCCATCCCCACTCTATCTTTTGCCTCCGAGCATGGACTCTTTCTGGGCTTCGGTTGATCAATAAGCTTACTTCTTCACACTCTCCCTCTTCAAGCACCCATGTTGTAGAATCCTTCCCTTTCCCAAATGGGTCACGATTCATGCAAACGGTTTACGTATTTCAGAAATGCATTAATCTCATTTCTCTTTCTCCTGTACTCTTTGTCCTTGTAGATTTGTGTCATTTATTTTTTCTGTGTGTTTTTAGGAGTTAGAGGAAATAACACATGTAGTCAATCTACTATGTTTAACTGGAACTCAAAAGCTGGTTGTTTGAAAAGACCAATGAAATTGATCTTTGGTGGACCTGATTAAGCAGGTCCAGCAGATATTAGCAGTGTGAAAGGAGATAGAAGAAGTGTACAAGAGAGTATTAACTGCAACTTTATGATAATTGGTTTGAATCTCCCTAACAGAGATTGGCAGGTTACATCCTGCGAGACGAATCTGGCCCAACCCCTGTTTTCATTAGGCAGCCATACTCATTTATTTACATACTGTCTCAGGCTCTTCTGTGCTACAGTGGCAGAGGTGGGTAGTTGTGACAGAACCATATGTTCCACACAGCCTAAAATATTTACTGTATAACTCTTTATAGAAAGTGCTTGCTGACTCCTGCTCTAGAGGAAATTATTTCCTAGAGAAAAAGAGACTGCACTTGGCCCCAAAAGTGCTAGACTAGATAAATAACAATAGAAGAGATCGGAAAGGTTAACAATCTTAAGAAGGCTCCAGCCAGAGAGCTGAGTTCTGAGTTCACTAATCTTTGAAGGACCAGTAATTTCTCTGTTCTTTAGATTATTTCAGACCATACAATAAGATGGAAAAGTCTCTTCAAAATGACATTATCAAACTATTACTGTCATCTTTTAAAGAAACCTTGCTGTTGGAGGTTTTTGCTTTTGCAGTTTTTTGAAGTGGTTCGTATTGCTCATGCAGTGATCGCTGAGTGTGGTGCCACAGTTTGCAGTGACCAGACACGTTCCTTGTGTCTCAGGGAGGGGCAGTGCGGCATTCGTCTCACAGGGTTAATTGATCCCCTTGACCACGCGGTTCCCTGCTCTCTGTCGTCTTGAAACCTTGCGTGGACATTTACATTAGTTCCATTTCTGAGTTGTAGAACCGCCTTCATTACCAAGAAAGATTTGTGTGTGTGTATATGCATAGACATCTTAGTCTTAGCCTGCTAGACCTGAAAGAGGACAGCTGCAAAGTCTTTTCATTTCTGTTTATCTGTTTTATAGTTAAAACTAATTATTTCGGATCATTAGAATAATATTGCTTATAATCTTATTCTAACCAGTTGTACTAATCTATTAATTGTAGTTTTACTTTACTCTTTTTTCAGCTATTTCTTTGCTACTGTGTGAGCAGTAACCTTCCCCCCCGTGAGATCATAGATAACGTGATGGTGTGGAATTGGCCTTTGTACAGAGAGTCCAGTATCCATAGTTACCTCATGTCAGCAGAATGGTCAGCTGAGTTCAGGGCATTCCCAAGATGTGAGCCGGGAGTTCCCAAGTCAAGTTCAGTGATTTGCTAGAAGGACTCACAGAATTCAGAAAAGCTGTTGTACTCATAGTTGCAGCTTATTTCAGAGAAAGGATACAAATTAAAATCAGTGGAAAAAGGAGCATGGGGCAGGGTCCAGGAGACACCAGCACAAGCTTCCAGTTGTCCTCTCCCAGTGGAGTCGTGTGGGCAGCACTTAATTTTCCCAAAAATGATGTGTGACAGCCCTCAAGGAATGTTGCCAACCAGGGAAGCTCACTGGAGCCCTGGTGTCCAGGGTTTTATTGGGAATCAGTCATGTGGGTATGCTGACCATCTGTGTGGCTTTAGCCTCCAGCCCCTCCAGAGTCAGACTGATACCATGCAACCCAAGACCCCCACCTTAGAGTGCATCATTAGCATGAACTATTGGGGCAGCCCAAGGCTTCAGGTAAACAAATACATTCTTAAGAGGTAGGATATTCCAGGAGCTCAGAGCTTATCTACCAGGTGCCAGATAAGGGCCAAACCTTTCTTTGAAATGTGCAGGGTTTGGACACCCCAGACTCGCTGAGTTAATCCTTTACTACACATCACCACGTATCGAATTCCTCACACACGTGTGCTTTCTTTACCACCCCTACCAACAAATTTTTAAAAGACACACATAATCCATTTTAACCCATTCAACATGGCAAATCTGCCGATATCATTGTTTAAATGGAAGAAAAAGTTCTCTCTGAAAGGTCATGTTCAGTTCACATTTGGATTAGATCGGATGTCGACTTACAACAGACATGTACCTTCAAGTGAGCCTTAGGTGAGCCTGAATTACATCACTTCCTTTGTTCAAGGGTATTTGGCCCCCAAATCTCTGTTGCCCTGTGCATGGAAAATTGAGTGACAAACACATGGAGTCAGTATCTTTCCATGTACCAAATCCACTGGACAAGAGGACATGAATTGGGCTGGATATTGTCAAGGCTCAGAATGTCGTCATCTTTATCTTTTTTGAGGAACATCTTTTTTTTTTTCTCCTGAGGAAGATTGTCCCTGAGCTAACATCTGTGCCCATCTCCCTCTGCTTTATGTGTGGGACGCCTCCCACAGCATGGCTTCACAAGTGGTTTGTAGGTCTGTGCCTGGGATCCGAACTGGTGAATGCCGGGCCCCTGAAGCAGAACACACAAACTGCTGCGCCACTGAACCGGCCAGAGGAACGTCTTTTGATTTTATTTCCTGTTAGGCACTTTGTTAGGTTATAAAAGACAAAAAAAGAGATGTACATCTCAGATTTCAAGAAATTGTTCTTAGGGTTTATAGAAGCCAGAGCAGTTTTGAGGGTATGTGGGGGAAGTTGGAGTTACCTTGAGTTTTCTGTTTCCCTCAGATACTGGAGGAGTTCTGAAGCGATGCTGAAGCTGAAGTTACTGGAAATGTTTAGACTATAACCTAAAGTGTCTGGTCTGTGAAGATTTTGGCATAAAAAGCTTGAACGTTTAACGTTTAAAAAAAATCTTCAGTAATAGGGGGAAAAAGCAGGAAAAAAATAGTCCCCTAAACTATAAATACATTTTTAGTCTATTTTGTGAAGAAAATTTGAGTCATTGTATCTGCACGCTTTTGACTCTTTCTCTCTTGGTCACCGTTGTGTCTGAGCAGTGGTGTTTTGATGGAAGGGTGTGGGCCTTTGTTTTCAGGTACAAGGACCTTTTCTTCTTGCAGGGAGGGGACGGGTAGGGGGGCAGATTAATGCTGTTTGAGAGCAGTTAGCATTTTGTATCATTTCTTTATTCGGGGCACCCCCCCAAGGACTGCTCATGCCAAGGTATCACTTGGTGGTTTCAACCTGGGTGCTTTCCTCTCCACACAGGAGGTCCCCAGGCTCAGGGAGAAGCTCTGAGCAAGCTGGGTGCTCTTGGGATGAGTCGATGGCAAGGGACACTGAACCCCAAACCCTGAGGACGACTGCCGCTGAGCGAGTGTGCTTGAGTGTTGGGGCAAAGTAGCCAAGGCTTAATTTTACAGGAGAGTAGCAGCCACTTGATCAAGTTATTTTTCAGTAACAGTGGCCTGTTCCGAGCTGAGCGAACTTCAGTCCTTGCTTTTATTAAACAATTCCTCGTCTCCCCCTCGCGCACAGAGCTCTCTCGCGGAGACCTTGGATAGCACTGGCAGTCTAGACCCCCAGAGATCGGACATGATTTACACCATAGAAGACGTTCCTCCCTGGTACCTGTGCATATTTCTGGGGTTGCAGGTAAGGTGATTCCTTTAGGATGTACCCACCAGCACATGTTTGAATTGCCTGTCTGGATTTTTTAAGATTTCAATTTTGATTTTTATTAATCGAAGACTTTATTATGAATTACTCTTTTAAGAATGATGAATGGGAATTGTTAACATCAATTTCATAATCGTGAAAGGAAGAAAAGAACAGGAGGAGTAAGTTAACCAGGGAATGAAAGAAGGAAAATGTTCGGGGAGTAAACCAGAGAAGTGACATGGCAGGAAGGAGAAAAGGTTGTAGAGATATAGACAGAGGGGAGGATGGAGGGAGGAGGAAAGGAGGAGTAGAGAAAAGAATTAGTGTTCACCTCCCATTCCTAGGTCAGCAATCCACGATCATGGTCAGCCCTGCCATGAAGTACAGGTGACACCGAAGTGCCACACTGGTCAGGACACACATGGGAGGTTTCAGTCTCATTTTTAAAGGAAGGCAAACTTTGCTGTGGTAGTTGTCTGCTGCAGCTTCTAGTGGAGGGGAGGGAAGGGTGGACAGGCTGGGCCACTGGCTGGGGGTTGCTGCCCTGGCCTGTGTTTGCCCTGGTTGTTTTAGCTTGGACCTTCTTCTGAGGTCTCACATTCCATTCTTCCATTTTTCTATTCTCAAGTTTGAATGATCAGTTCAACCTGAGGTATTTCAGATACTGAGGAGATTAGTCTCATTGCCCAGACAGGTTTATTCACTTGAAGATGGGGCTGTACCTGCCAACAGCTGATACTTTGGTCCAGTTTCCAGTGCCCTCACCCTTTCTTAGGTGTCAAAGCACTTGGCTAACCTGGACTGAAAGGAGTCTCATAAAGGAGGAGTGGCAGCCAAAGGAGCTGAGTGGTCTTGGTGAATAATTTACCTTGACCTGAGCATCCCAAACTAGCATCAGGAAACTTGCTTTTTGAAATGTTTGTATTATAGGTGTTTCTAGAAGTCTTCTTTGGTCAAATCGGATTGGGAAATTCTGCAAGCATCATGCCCTTCTTTTTTTCTGAGGAAGATTAGCCCTGAGCTTACTGCTGCCATCCTCCTCTTTTCACTGAGGAAGACTGGCCCTGAGCTAACATCCATGCCCATCTTCCTCTACTTTATATGTGGGACGCCTACCACAGCATGGCATGCCGAGCGGTGCCATGTCTGCATCCGGGATCCGAACCGGTGAACCCCGGGCCACTGAAGTGGAATGTGCGCACTTAACCGCTGCGCCACCGGGCCGGCCCCGCATCATGCCCTTCTTGATGATACACAGTGCCCTTGAGCTTGTGAGCAGCTCTGAGAAGTCCTGGATGGAAGTGTTGTGTTCCCCATGTGAAACACCTATTAGGGTTAATTGGGCTTCATGGACTGCAAGCCACACATTTTGGTAAACATGAGCAGAAATGGGGAACTGTTGAGAAGAAAAGTAGGAAGTTTGCAGAGCAGAGGTAGAAACTGAACCAGCAGCCTCTGGGAGGAAGGGAAGTGGGCACTAGTGCTGGGAACATCCTGCCAAGGCTGCCAGGAGTGGGGGAGGGGCCCAAGGGAAGAGTGGGGCGGACTCTTTCTAGAGGATTCCTGCAGCTTCTATATGCCCTGAACTGTTCCCTGAGTGTCAAACAGTGCCAGGCCGAAGAACAAGGTGGGAAACACCCTGAAAGAATTTTAAAAACCTGAAAGAATTAAAAAAAGAAAAGTTGACTATCTTAAGAATATAGATATAAAATTCTACATAAAATATTAGCAAATCAAAGTCCAGAAGAAAAATATAGCATGACTAACCTAGGATTTGTTTCAAGAATGGTTCAGTACAACACAATTTAAGTGAACAGATTAGAGGAGAAAGACCTCTGACTTTGGCAATCAGTGCTGAAAAAGCGTGTAAAAAAAGGAAAGATTCCCAGTAAGAATTATGTAGTAAAACATCACCAGTGCTTATATTAAGTACTTTCTTTGTGCTGCTCTGGAGTCATGCGAGTAATAAGACAAATGAGTAATAAGACATGAAAATGAAATGAAAGAAATGAATGAAAAGGAGAAAGGCTGAGACAGAAATATGATTTGGCATATGATATGAGCATGTACCTAAAAAACCGTAGGGATTCTTCACGTGGGCTATTTTTTAAAAACAACGGGGGAGGGCAAAGTAAGGATAAAACAAGAAAAATAAATGAGGAAGGGTTTACTCTTTCTCCCTCCGTCTCCCTGTTGCCCACAGCACTACCTGACATGCTTCAGTGGCACAATTGCGGTGCCCTTCCTGCTCGCCGACGCCATGTGCGTGGGCTACGACCAGTGGGCCACCAGCCAGCTCATCGGGACCATTTTCTTCTGTGTGGGAATCACGACATTGCTGCAGACAACGTTTGGATGCAGGTGAGATTGGGGTACTAAACTGGGATGCTGAAGCCCCATAAGGCATTGAACAATGTCTAGGTTCACCTAGGACTGCTTGGAAGGACTGGCTAAAGTTGGGGGGAGTGTCCTAGTGGCCGTTGCCCCCCCGCCCCACCATATTTCTTGGTGGTGGTACCACTTCCCACCCAGTTGTGCCAGCTGGAAACTCAGAATGATAGCTCCTTCCGTCCCACCAGCTGGTAGGGCAGGTTCTTTCTCCAGTACCCCCTACCCACCCTCATTCCTTTAGTTCAGGCCTGGACTGTTCTACTAGGTTGCCACTTGGTTTCCCTGCCTCCAGGGCTACTCTCCTCGCCTGGCTCTGTGGCTCTGTGCACTGCCCCCGTGCCGTCCTTCTAACATTCGCATCTTGCTTGGTGCTGCCAGGCTGCAGCCCCACTTTCTTTAAAAACCAGGATGTACTCACCCTTTAGGCTTCTCCCTTGCTCTCTGTCCCATCACCCTTCCAGCTTCCTCTGAGCCCTGCCCTCCCCTTCCCCGCACTCACGCTGGATGAGCTCCTCCCCAAGTCTGCCCTGCTGTTTCTCCTTCCTGTGCGTGTGCTCCCCAGCAGCTGGTAAACCCTGTGCATCCTTCCAGTCCAGCTTGTCCTCTCCCCTTTGTGAAGCATCCCTGACTCCCCAAAGCCTCCGTGTTCTCGCCTCTGAATTTCCACACGTGCGTCTTGTGTACATTCTCTAATGTGGCTCTTATTCCAGTTCCTCCTGTTTTATTTGCGTCTTTCCCCCTGGATCCTGCTCCCCTCCTGATGCCAGGGGTCCAGCTGGTTCACCTTCGCATCCCCAGCCCCCATCTTCAGTGGGTGTGGAGCTGGCATAGGAGAGAAGAGAACCATCCTTTCCTGCTCCTCCTGCAGGCTTGCTTTGTCCTCTCCCAACCTCTTTTGCCCTCTTGACAGTGCAGCCTCTTCCTTTACCCTGGGGCTCTGCTCAAGGGGAGGAGCCTGGGGGGCCAGGACTGTGCTCAGTGGGAGGGCGGCAGGGTAAGCTTGCAGGTTCTGTCTCCTGCTCCATTAGAGACAATCTGCTAGGGAAGTGGGTGCAGAGGCAAAGGGCAGAGAAGGCAGCTTGGGAATCATGGGCTATTCCAGTGAGTCAAGGTCTTCAGGGACATCGAGACAGTTGCCCCCATTTGGGGGGACGGGAGAATATGGGAGAACAGTGAGCAGGTTAGGGATTCTGGTTGGCAGCACAGGCAGCATCCTGGGAAGTGAGGTGACAGCTCCTTGCAGGTCTGCTGATGGAAGGCTGTGGGGCTAGCCAGCTCTCGGAGTTCTCAAAACCCCAGCCCCTGCAGGATGGCCTGCAGCCACCAGGCTGAGCAGATCCCTTACCTTGGAATGGGATTGCGGGGGGTCTCCTTAGGGGACCCCTGAGGGGAGGGGCAGGGTGTCATTGACCTGCTAGGGGAAGGAGATGTGTTCTGGGCGTTCCAGGAGGGCTTGATTCATTTTCTTAGAGCCAGGTAGTTGGATTTGGCTGGCATCATCTTTCATTCTTTTGAAATGGCATTCAAGGTTCTGTATTTCAGGGCCAGGATAGATTAAAAAGTTTTGTTGGCTGACTTGGGGGCCTTACCTTGTACATAGGGTACTGGTTTTTCCTAAACAGCTGACTCGTCACAGGGCTGGTAGCACAAACCATCTGTAACTGGGCAGTGCCTGTAGTCGGGAATTGTTGGCTGACTTGAAGGGGGGAATGAAAGCTGTCTTCTTGTGGTGCAGTGTGTACCGCGTGCAGCGCTGCCCTGCTCTCATGCCGAGGAGGCTGGCACTGTCCCACAGATCGACCTGGGAGGGCTGGGCACAGTTGCCTGATGGTGACACAGTAGGGAGGGCTTGGGGAACTTTCGGTGAGTGCTTTTGGTTATAGGAGACCCTCCTGCCTATCGTTGGGGCACAGGAGACCTAAACAGAGTGGCTTGGTCACTGCAGTTTGCCTCTCCCTCCCGCTCCGAAGGAGCAGTTGAGCTGAGAAGGAACAGGAAAGGGAGTTGACACACCTGCTGGGATGGCTCAGGCCCCAAGATACAGCCCTGCAGCATGCATGCGCGTGCATACATTCGTGCATGCACGTACACGTGCGTGTGTCTGCGCTCTGCCCAGGAGGCTCGCTGAGAGCAGCTTTCCTTGCTGTTTTGTGGCAGATGTCAGGGAAACCCCACCTATGTCTTTGGGTGGTGTGAGAAGCAGTGGGTCCCACCTTCAGCGTGGTGTGGCCAGCTGCTTAGCTGTCAGTTGGGAGGCGGGTGTCATGTCTGCTAACCCTGTTATTAGTGAATATGTGCTGCTGGGGTTTGGTGCGGTTTTGTCTTAGGACATGGGTTTTTCTCTGGCTGTTGGGATGTGGGATGGTGTCCATACTCTTAACCTGGGAAAAGAGGAAGAGAAAAACACTGACTCAGTCCCACAGATACTTAGTGAACCCTCTCTGTGTAAGGTGCTGGGTGACTGGGCCTGGCCATGGCGGTGATGAAGCAAATCCGTGCCCCACAGCATAAAGGGTGGCATCGGGGATTTGCAGTAATGTCCTGCTGGGGACTTAAAGGGACAGTCACAGAGGAGGTGGTAACATGTGAGATGGGTCTTGAAGACTCAGTTGGTTCTGTAGCTCTCGGCCAGGAGCATTGAAGGAGCATTTTCCATCCTGGGAAGTGTGGGGGCAAAGGCAGGAAATCATGGCCTAGTGAGTGACTTCCCTGACCAGAGCCTAGAGGTCAGGCTGTGGGCCAGACTCCAGGGCTTAGGTATTACTGAGGTCCGTGTGAGTGATGAGTTTGGCTCTAGCCCACATTCTGGAGGGCCCTTCCTGCTTTTGATCCTTAGATGGAAAGAGGAGAAGCCTGGGGTGTGCCATGTTTGCCTTGATTAAAGAATCTTTATGACTGAGTGAATTGAAGCAGCTGCCTTTGGGCTCAGGCGGAGTGAGGGAGCGCCCCACCCACCGTGACATCCGCCCTGCCCACGCTCCTGGCCCCTGGCGCCAGCGCACACGCTTACCTCTTGCTCTGCTCCTCTTTTGCTAACAGTACTTCTTCCTTCCTGAGATCCTTGCTTCCAGCTCCTGTCCAGTAGCTAACAGTGAGAAGGCCCTCAGTGGCGTGGTTTCCAGCTCCTCCAAAGCCTCAAGCTGTTCTTGACCCCTTCTTTTCACTGTTTGTCCAGTGTATATTGGAGGGCCAGCTGTGCGAAGGTGAACCCAGATGGTGAGGTGGGTGGGGCATTTCCCTCCTTGCCTGGCTGCTCACCACCTCTGGGGCTTGTTGCTGCACCTGTGGATTCCTGTGTCCCATCTCCCCCATACCCTGCATTGCTCTGTCCTTCACCCCTTTCTGTTAGAGTTCTGACTCCTCTTTCCCCATCTGTCCTCTCCTTCCGCTGTGCCTGAAGAGGCAGGGCTCCCCTGTCCAGCTGAATCACCTCTCATGCCCTTGGCCACAGGTTTCCTGTGGGTTTTGTGAGAGAAGAGCAGAAATCCCAAGAGTGGCAAATATCCCACTACACCACGCCCGCCCCCTCCTCCTTGGTATTTGTAACAGGGCAAGGTGGGCATTCAGGCCGCAGTTGAGTGAGGACGCACCCTTGGTACTCACACACCCAGCACTTACTCAGGATGGGGTTGGGGGTCTAGTCCAGCGGGCTCACAAAAGTCGGTGCTGTTCAGAGCTGGCCGCATTGCCGGTGCTAGTTAAAATCAAGTTGTGGGATATTTTGCTGATAACCTGTAATCCCATGGGCAGTCGGAACCTACAGTTCCCAGGGTAAAGCGTTAGCTGTCAGCATGTGGCAGACGATGGTTTCTCCTGCCTTCACTCACGGGGGAGCGGACCGAGCAAGCCTGAGGAGTTAGAGGGACCTGCACAGCATCACGACCTTGGACAGATGACCTCTCCAGCTCTCAGTTTCCTTTTGTGACAATGAGAGGAGGCTCTTCCTAGGCTGTCCTGTGGACATTTTGCCATGATTGTGTTTCTGTAGATTATTATAAGCTTCCTAAAATACATTTGGCAAGTTGTCGAGTATGAGTAAGAGAAGAGCCTTTTAGTTCTGCTAGATGCTAAATGGACCCTCATCCTAGGCTGTGAATGATCCTCTGATGAGACTTGTGCATGGACTTCCTGCTCACAGCAGGGTCAAACAGATGAAGCAGTTGGGGCAGAGGGTGTGGAAGGCTGGGACGATGCAGGAGGCAGGGGCCGATGCAGCCGAGAGTGGGGTTCGTTCCCAGTGTCCCAGCCTTGAGGAGTGCGGTGGGCCTGCACGTGGTGTTTTTGCAGTTTGGCACTCCTTTCCTTAGGCTTAGAGCAGCAGCGGGAGAAGGTTTTCATGTTCAGTTTTCCTGATTTCTAGGACAGATTTTCAGACTTTTCCAACTGAGTGGTTTACTGTGTTGTGTCTGAGTTCTCTACGTTTCTTTAGGTATTTGCTTACCACCTGCTGAGTACTCAGTGCTCCATCACACTGGATGCAGTGGGTACAGGGGCCTAAAGACCAGCCCTGCCTTTGAGGAGGGGCCCTTTATTCTGAGGAAGCTAAGACGACTGCTGGTCTAGAGCAGAGGCAGGAAGAGAGCGTGAGCATCCCGACCTGTGGGCTGTGGCCAGGTCGTCCCTCCTCTTTTCACATGGGCACCCTGGTGAAGGGGGCACGCTGTTCCTGGAAACCTGTTTCTTCCATGAAAATAACCAAAATTAATAGGGAACAGGGAAGGCAAAACAGACCGTATGCCTTTGCAAACCTGAGCACAAGCTTAGAAGGCCAGCGTTAAGATGTCACCTGGTAAACACTCTTGGGGGTGTGTTTTTCATGGGCTGGGCTAGCTGAGGCCACACAAACCATGTCTGATGCAGCGTGTGCTGCATTACCCTCCTTCCTTCTCTGCACGTCTCCCCTGGCATGAAAGTGGTTTCCTTCCTCCAGGGACCATGATAGTTTTGAAATGGAAGTCACGGCTCTCAGC